GTATTGACCTTTCATTTGGTCAAGCTGAGTCTTGGTGGTCTCGTAAAGGTTCCGGTACATATCACTTTCTTTCCTCTGCCTTTCCAGTTCAGCTTGCTGCTCCTCGAAGCTTCTCTCCCAGTCTTTCCTCTGCACAATCATTTCATCACTTTGTTTATTTAGCCGATCTTCCATCTTTTGGGCGAACTCTTGAAACTTTTTCTCGCTTTCGGCATGTTGTTGGTTTTTCTGAGTGGCGTTAGATTTCAGGAGTTCGTAATGCCTTTTTGCTGCATCGTATGACATTCCGCGATCTACTCTGAGCTTGGCGATGTCATTTTCCGCCACGTAAAACGGGCATCTCCGGCTAGAAACTGGATGGTCGTTAGTATTACACATGTTGCACTTGGCAGGTAAATGGCAGAAAACTCCTCGAACAATCACATGTTCCCCGGAGCATGTTCCACACGTATCTTTCTTTGAGCAGCGTAGTTTTGTGTGCCCAAAATTCCAGCACTTGTAGCATTGCATGGGAGCTGGATAGTAGGGTCGTGTCTTAACTCTGAGGAATCCGAGGTATATGTAATGTGGAGTGTAGGTTCCAGTGACGTTCAGAATCATCATGGGGGTGTTGATCCTTTCCACTCCGTTACCCTTCTTGGTGATCCGTCGTATTTCTACAACCCCTTGACCATCTAGGAGTTCCATGATAGCCTGGTCGGACAGCTTAACTACATCTGAGCAATGTACCACAAATTTGACGAAATTATGTATCGGATGCTCCTTGATATTGATAGGGGTTCCGTCGGTCAGTGTCTTCATGTTTTTTAATTTCAGCACCTGATCCATCTTACGAACCTTCAGGACGTAGCGAGTTCCCCGGTTCTCGGGAAAAGCCCCTTCAATTTTTCCACAGCAGCTGGTAACAGAAACGCTAACGATACCTGGGTTCTCGGGAAGTTTGGCGGGCTCTACCGGTTGCAGTTGAAGAACGGTCAATTCTCCACCTTCGCCTGAAGGGTCCATCCATTTTGGAATTGTTCGTCCTCTGAATGAGCCATCGAACATGTTGCCAGCTATAGAAGTTTCTCCGCCGGGATCCCCATCAGGGGGGATATCCCAACCACGTTTCATGGTTGGGAGATGATGATTGTGGTATTTGCTGTTATTTGCTTTCAGGTAATTAAAGCTATCCTGATCAATGCCGCGATCACACCCGTCTACTGATTAGACCGACTAAAATAAGAGCACTGCCCACAGCGAAAAACAAAAACGGGTTTGCTTCGATTTCACAATATGTCGAGGATGTATTCTGTATTTATTGTTTTAATCTTGTTTTGCTTCCGAACAATTGCTGTTGTGGTTTCTGCGCAGGTCTATTCGATTAGAACAACAGGTTACGGGACGGTAACTAGTATAACATTTTGAAATAGTTCCGGAATTCGCGTGCGAGAAGATAAAAACTTTCTACAATTCGCACTGTCTGTATGATTAATTAAGACTGTTTTGTCAGATGATTTACTAAACAATAAATAAATAAATAAATAAATAAATAAATAAATAAATAAATAAATAAATAAATAAATAAATAAACAAATAAATAAATAAATAAATAAATAAATAAATAAATAAATAAATAAATAAATAAATAAATAAAAAAATAAATAAATAAATAAATAAATAAATAAATAAATAAATAAATAAATAAATAAATAAATAAATAAATAAATAAATAAATAAATAAATAAATAAATAAATAAATAAATAAATAAATAAATAAATAAATAAATAAATAAATAAATAAATAAATAAATAAATAAATAAATAAATAAATAAATAAATAAATAAATAAATAAATAAATAAATAAATAAATAAATAAATAAATAAATAAATAAATAAATAAATAAAAAAATAAATAAATAAATAAATAAATAAATAAATAAATAAATAAATAAATAAATAAATAAATAAATAAATAAATAAATAAATAAATAAATAAATAAATAAATAAATTAATAAATAAATGAATAAATAAATAAATAAATAAATAAATAAATAAATAAATAAATAAATAAATAAATAAATAAATAAATAAATAAATAAATGAATAAATAAATAAATCAATAAATAAATAAATAAATAAATAAATAAATAAATAAATAAATAAATAAATGAATAAATAAATAAATCAATAAATAAATAAATAAATAAATAAATAAATAAATAAATAAATAAATAAATAAATAAATTAATAAATAAATTAATAAATAAATAAATAATAAACAAAACATACCTCTGGATAATTCTTTGAAAATTTGTAGTAGATGCCGTCTTAAAGTTTATCGTTTGCCATCAAACAAAGCGCCTTCGAATGACGGAATGCTGCAAGATGTGGAACAACCTTCTATCAGTGGTGTACGCTCAATTGCACCCGTAGATATCAAGAGTGAATCCATTATGAATATCATCCCATCGGCTACGTCTCTGGCTTCATCGACTTCAGCAGATTCTGTTGTCAATAGAATCAGATTGTCCCATAATATTGAGACATTCAACCAAGGCATCATGTCTATCCATGTACGATGACGACAAAGAGGCAGAGAAGTGCGTGTTATCCTCAATAGAAAACCAAAGAAATCGTGGGGTTAAGCGACACGTATTTGACCTTTCGGAAGATAGATGATGACCATGAAATCCTCAACGCTAAGGCTAAGGATTACGATGAAGTGATGAGCCAAATGAAGGAAAAATAAGCAGATCCGGAATGCACTCGAGAAGAAAAGATACAAGTATTATCCGTATTACCCAAATCTTGGTCTGTACAAAGAATCATGGATGAATTCGGTGTCAACAGATATACTGGAGCACAGGTAAGATTTACACAATTTTTAAACACCATAAAGGAAAAATTAAAAGTGATTCTCATTTTGTTTCTTCCTAGGTGAAAGATTTGGTCACCGAAGATGGAATATTATGTTCCCCTCGTTTCAAAGCAGGACATGGACTGAGAGCAGAGTTAGTAGATACAGTTGTGAAATTCTACGAAGATGACGATATCGTCCCAATGACGCGTTCATCTAGATAAAATTGATAAATAGCAGATTTTTAGCGATGAGCCCACTATTAGATCCATAGGTCAACATTAGAGCCATTTCCTCTAGGTATTATATTCAATATCATCATCCTTACTTGGATATAATCATTAATTTTATGAAATTAATCTTAGTTTAACAAAGTAATTTAGGAAAATAAATACTCTGAACTTCACTGTTCAATCGGATGACAATCACTTTTGGGCATCTATTCATATGCTATCGTCTAGGCTTATCGTTACATCTGTCATCCTACTTCATACGCGTTCGGCTTACACCATCTGGGGGCACGGATATCCAGGAGCGACACAACACCGAGGGGTTGTTTAATAAGATAGAACGATTAGTAATTTCTATTAAATCCTGCTACCTTATTTTCTTATCCTTGATAGATACGCGTATTTCGTCTACAATGTGCAGGCTTCTTCAGTGTCTTGTACTTATACTCGATTGAATGTAACCAGTCGCAGCTCACATCAATGTGATGAATATAGGGGTTAGGGTGACTGCAACAGACTACTCTTTCTAACATTCAGCACTGCGATGCAATTTGTGAAAGAGTAAGCTGTTTCGTCAGGTTTACCGCTGTCAGTATGCCCAAAAGTGTCATATTGTCTAAAAATGTCAAAATCATGTGAACTGCATCTATATGTGGTTGACAAGGATAGGGTCCCGCTGGCATAATCATTAGAAAAATTGCATTTTGCCGCTCTCATACGCTCCTACGTGTGGTATTGGAGCAAACTATTATGCTTGATATTGATTTTACAATCAAGTGTGATCCTGTTCTATGGTGAGATTTGATGTTTTTATATTTTCCCAACACTGAATGTAGCCCCATTTCTCCTGCTCAGGTCTCTTGTATTGATATATGCTATTTTCAACATGTGAATGCGAAATCATAGTTCTAGCTCAATCATAACAATTAAGGCTGGTAAGTTACTGTAGTAACTGGAGCACCTAGGTTAAAATGAAATGTAATTTATTTTGAATTTGGAACAAAACAAAAAATAATAAAATAAAATATTTTAGAATCTCTGCATAGTAGACGTATTGTGGAACAATTTTGCCGAAGAAACCATATGATTATCTCTGAGGGGTGATTTTTAACACCTAATTTCGTGCTGGGGTCATATATGACCCCGCGGGATCGAATTGGTTAAGGTAAAAGTAGCTATTATAACGTCACTCTGCTACAACCTTTGCCAAATGGCAACCCTTCCGCGTGAGAGTGAGTGATCGAAACATCACCGCTTTTGCGAGTGACCGCGCAACCTCCTCCGCTCGCCTAGTAGCCTTTGCCAGCAGCAACCTTTCCACACGGCACGGCACGGCATGGCCTGCCACACAGGTGAGCGAGAGCGTGTGAGAGGTTCGCTCCCCCATTCGCATCCAAGTCACCGCCCGGGCCGAGTTGCTTGGCTACCCACCTACCGATCGTTTGCTGCACGGTGGTGCTTTCAGTGCGATCGCCTATTTCGTCGTGTTCAGTTCGGTACGGAAACTCGCTCGATCGGTTGCGAGCGCGTGCATCATATACTTCATACTCCCGAAGCCAGGCCAGAGGCATCCGCTTTGCTTGGGCGATTCTAGAAGTTGTGTTAGAAGGAGCGAGCTACGACTCCGTGGTGGTGTTTTACTGTGGTGCAGTGTGCTTAGTGCAAAGAAGCAAACCTGCTGCTAGCCAGCCGTAACGACATTCCCTGAACGCGGGACGAATAAAGTCAAGTGGGTGGGTGGTTGGAGAAACGGGACGAAACCGGGTTTGCAATAATCCCTCGATTTGCAGCACGAAGCTCTGGTCTCAGCGTTAATAGGCAATAGAGCAATAAACGACGACAACAAACAACACTGGCCCGAGTGGATGGAAAAAGAGAGTTGTAGTACGTACGAATGCTAGTTTTAATCGTTTGCACACTATTGTTGTTTGGGGGGCGAAAAAGAGTGAGAGATTGGGTTTGCTGGAGTGTGCAAATTCTTTGTCGATCGGAGTGAGAATGTCAATCTCCAAGGGGGTTCACGGTCCAATTGTGATTGAGGAACTTCTTTAGATCGCGACGACGATCGCAGTGACCTACGGGATCAGTCCAATGACATTTGAACCGGTCGGACGTCGGGTGTGTGGATAAATGATCTTTCTTTGCGAAATTTCGCAACATCTGTTCTCTCCGTGGACTGGGTTGGGACGTTAATTATATTCGTTTTTCGGCAAAGCTGCGGAGCCTCAGAAGTGAAATTGCAGTAAAAACAGAAAAAGAGACAAGCCCTCCAACAAAAGAGTGGTGTAGTTATACATCCGACAACGACGACGACGGGTATCAACGCGCGGTGTGGTCAAAGCGTAAGAGCAAAAGTTAATGTTTAAGTAGGAGTGAGAGAGGCAAAAAAAAACAAGTGAAAACGTTGATCTTTTGGAGTGCCCAAGTGTCCAAAACGGAGTGCGAGTGAGGAAAGACGTGTTTTTTTCCTCCTTTCAACTCCAACACGGGATTGAGAGGACAGATCGAAGAAGGCCTTTCGAAGCCATGACGATGAAGACGATGACGGTGGACGGGTGCGCGTGTGTGATCCGGCCGGACGATGATGATATGGTGGAAAGATGAAGAGTTTTTGGTAGCGAAAACGGTTGCCGTCAACGCTGGCCGCTTTTGTGTGGAAGAGTGGCATGTGTTGTGAGTGAGGACGGAAGACAGTCAGTGGAGATAGTGGTGGAACTCGTTTATTTTCTTCTTAAAGTTGAGACCTGAACCGTGAATGAACTGAATCGCTACCCCGGACAACAACGGACCGACAAAACTCACACACAAGCACAGCAGCAGCGCAGCAGCAGCAGCAGCAGCAGTAGTGCTGTTTGTAGAAGAGATGGATGGATGGATAGATTGATGGGAATGTGTATTATTTATATATTGTTGTGTGTGCTGTGATGTGAATAATTAGTTTATAAAAGTTTCATTTCACTTTTTTTTTGTGGGCTTTCTGGATGGACGGATATCTCAGTTAGAGATTGTTTGCTTTTCGATGGGTTTTGTGCGGACAAGGCTGCCGTTGTTGGAGCTATGAGAAGCCATGGTTTGCTGTGCTGTTGATCATAGCAGGCTTGTGCTGTATAGAAATAGCATCTTCAGACAGGGGGCAGCGATTGTTTGGTGACTAGTAACGTAACTGACAGAGGAGATACCTCAAATATCAGTTAGGCCGGAACAAACTAATATTTTTACTTTTGTCACAACCGCATTCGAATCTGGTGAGAGATATAAGAAATCTCTAAATGCAGACATTTTTTCAACTTCAAGTTTTTAACTGTTTGATAAATCTCAGGATTTTAAAATATTCTGAGAGGTTTGCCATAAAATCTTCCTGTCCTATATGGAAAATCATATAAATATTCTCTTTTTAAATCTTTATTAAGCTTGAACACTACCCTCCCACTCTTTAACCATGGACCATGGACACTTCCTAAGCTATAGAATCCAATCCAAATTTCCCTAATGCCACCTATCGAACTGAATGGTTCATTAGATTGCAATGCGGAAAGTGAGAGAATGAATTTCGAAATTAGTATATGGAATACTTATATCTTAATTATTATAGTGAATTTTCAAGATCCCGAGGTTTGCATACATACTGAATCTAGGATATTTCAATATTCTTAAGATTGTAATAAGAATTCCAGGCAAGCTGCGGGGGTGGTGTAGTGATAAGCGTGATTGCCTCTCACCCCAGCAGGCCTGGGTTCAATCCCAGTCGGTGCCGCCGGGATGTTTTGAGGCATAACATCTCTGATCACGCCTTCCTTCGGGAAGTAAAGCCGTTGGTCCCCGGTTCATGAGTTGATGGGTCGATAGGTAGGGTCCAGGTGTGGGAGCTGCCTTCCTGGCGTCGGTAGCATTGGTGCTCATCACGGAAAACAAGATTGACGGAAAAAACAAACGAAAGGAAAAAAAAAATATATATAAGTTTCAAATATCCGTATAATGCGAGGGGGGCGACACATCTAAATCTCAAGTTAAGATGCTCAACAAATCTCACACTAGCGAATCAATCTTCGAAAAATCTTCTTTCATTTGTTGCATCTACTTGCATCGAGCATCATCTTTTTGCAGGAAATCTTCAGAATCGTCATCAATCTCCTTTCTATCTACTCAGCGTGCGCGCAGCTAGCCACAGCATAGCACAATATTTTCTGCATCGTAGATAGAGTCGTCCCCCTCGGTATAATGTCTGTAGCTAGGGGCAATACAGCTTTAAATCATGAGTAATTTTTGAGCAAATCTTGAGTTACTCTGAGTTACTCGCGTTGCTCAATAATGAATATCGTTGTCGAAAAAACTTGTATTGCAGCAACTCAGTTGAACAGGTATCTCTTCGTATTTACATATTCGTGGTTCTGCTCATGCAAAAATAGACAACAGAATAGTTCTTGATAATTTAGGAAGAAGAATACGGGTTTTAATGAGGATAAAACTTATCGACGATATAAGTTATAACAATATCCATATCGTGACTATCGAATGTAATAATCATTTCTCTAAATCCATATCATAGCTGATAAAGTTCATTTGATCGATGTTGGAACCTAGACAAACGTTTTCAGCTTACATAAGTATCTATACATGAAATAAATTGTTTTGCCAAGAGACTTGAGCGGGGGTGGGTCCTTATTTACCTTCCACCTTTACGACAAACAAATGGTGCCATATGCATGGACCAACCACAACATCCATTGGCACTTCAATCAGACAATTCAATAAGGCTCAGCTGACTTCTTTGTTTACCAAGAACTTTTGACAGATCACAGTAGAACCATAGAGATAACTCTAAGACCAGAAGGTCCCGAAGAAACGAGCTCAACTTTTTGACTCAGCTCTGGTACTATCTTCGGTCCCAAGCTAATCGATTCACCCCTCGAAACATAGGAAAATCCAATAACCCCTCATTTTATCTGTCAAACTTTCATAGCGAATCAAAACAAACATTGTGTAGTACTAGAATTTTGACTAGAATGGGATACGCTATTCATTTGCTTGGGACCAATAGGCTAGTCAAGTAGTGAGCCAATTTAAAATCGTTAGTTTCGTATTGATTGTTGGTAGAACTGGCAGTTTATTCTCATATGAGTCAGTCAGTTCAACTAAGAAACGTCTCTTGGATCACCTTATAGGAGGTGTTTGTTTCGCATCAACTAACTCAGTACTCGCGATGGTTAAATAATACATAGCCCTTTGTTTATCACACCAAAACATGCTAAGGTTTATTAAACTCATCACTAATTTGTATTTGGCTTAAACTAGGGACAACGTAACGAACTAAAATTCCGTCGTGGGTCTCCTGCCCGTGCAATGCAGTGACCTGGTTGAGGTGGACTGATCGTTGGACCCGCTCGGCCGTTTTAGGTAGTTCAGTCCTCCGTCGATGCGATGATTTTCTTCGGCTAGTGAGAGCGGGTGATATTCTCAATGCTCTTATCACTTATCTGGTTTGGTCATCCTCATCACTCCTGTGTATCACTCGGTGGCAATCGATGACGATGATGACACTGATGATGGCATGATAATGGCTTCACTAGTACCGAAGACAACAAATCAAGAAGACTGGCAACTCTTCCATTTTCTCATACGAACGCTATGAGACAGGTACACTCATAAAATAAATCACATAACCAGTGGAAAATATCCTTGTGAATTTCACATAACTTTCATGTGATCCCATAATTGGAAATTGCACCACTAAATCACATGAACGTTATGTGTCCAATGAAATCTATATGATTTCTCATATAGAATTCCTAATGCTATGTGATATTCAGGTAAAAATCATTGTTTTTGTTTTTGGAAAAATACTATGTGCGTTCCTAATAGAAACTAAGTGAAAACTTTTTTCAGTGTACAATCGCGTCATCTGCCGCTCAAAGGTAAATGCTTCGAACGAATTTGAAAGCAAAGATTACATCCTCAGAAGAAGGGTTTGTGTATTTGCTCATTTTTCTATACGTTGTTGCTTCCACCTTCACTCAAGCGCAGCGCTACTGTATCTGTCGCTTGGATTCTGGCAAAGTTGCCAGTCTTCTTGATTTGTTGTCTTCGCTAGTACGTAGTGGTAGAGAGGTAATCCAATGGTACTGCTCATGATAGTCTTATCAGTGTGAGGGTCTTCATCAACCGAGCTGGTGTGTTGGACGACAACTCCGGAGAACTTTTAGATTTGGGTGTAACTGCTTTTGTAAACAAACACGTCCATTTCAAATTTCTCGCGAATAACAACTCAATTTCACAAACAAACTATATCGAATTACAGAGGAATCATTCCTTTATCTGTTTGTATTGTTAGAGATGTAATAGCCTTCGACTAAAAATCTCTTAAATAAAGAATTCTCGCACAACACGAGAAAAGCGCCTATCATTGTTGATCGATTCTCTTCATCGATTTTCTCTTTCGCGAATAACTCGACTGCAAATGAATTTCCCATTCAGTGTGTTGTTTCAGGCGCAAGCTAACATCATCTTCTGTCGAACTGTGCTGCGAGCTTTGCGAGAAATTCGTTTATGTTGCCGTGGTAAACCCAAGGGAAAGTCGTTGAAGAGAATCGATCAACGAGGATAGGCCCTTTTCAAATGTTACACGAGAATTGAAAAAAAAAGTTTACAATAGCAATTAAGCGCTAATCTCGAAATTCTCCGGAACTGTGTGATGATGACAGGGTTGTTGTTGGATGGACCATCAACTCATCAACAAGACTATTATAAAGAAAAATAACTTACTTGCAATTGAAAAAAAAATCTGTCCATAATGGCTGACGTTAGTGTGTTTGTAAATATGACAGTATGGAAAAATAAAAAATTGAGGCTACTTAGTTATTTTTTGAGTAAATACGAGTAACTCACAGCTGCTCAATGTAATTTATTATAGCTCAGAGTATAGCTGACTTCCCGAGCAAAGTTGGAGATCAAATTGAAATCAAAATTTGCTGTTATGATGTAACTTATTTTGAATACTCCAGTTGATCTCATTTTGGTTGACTTAACGGTTAACACACTAAAAATAAGAGCAAACTTTTACACTGTTGAATCAAACGGAAAACTAATCTTTCTCTCAAAGAAATCAATTTGATTTCTGATTTTGCATTCATAATGTTTAAAATCGTTAGCATCCATGCTACTCACGTAGAAAGACTTGAGCTCAAATCTCTCAACGAATGTTCTAAATTGTGTTAAACAAAACAAATAAACAATAATCGTTAGTTCAACGACAAATGAGCTTAAATTAAATTTTAAACAAGACGTTAACAGCAGAACTTCAAGTTAAGTTGCTTTCATTTAAAAAGTCTTGACTGCATAGTGGAAGCACAATATGATATCAGACTAATGTCGTGACAATTGGAATCAAAATGAGTTTTCATTTTGTTTACCGGCTTTGCTCGGGTTGCCCCTAGGTCTGTAGTCTGTATTGGGTATGTACGAGACTTCAAAAATCTGTATAAATACAGACATATCTATCTATCTGGCACCGCTGTGTCGAAATTAAAATCCATACAGGTAGTTGATGTATCTGTTATGGTTGTCTTTATTTTCAGCTAAGTTGAGTGTACAAACTTAGAAAAGTTGATGTAAATTTAGGTGTACTGAGACTGACATATACGAGTGTAAATTTTGGCATAAAATTGAGTCAAAATAGACGCGAAAGTCAGCTCAATCAAACGTACTTTCGAGCTTTTCAGTCTCGGAGCATTTAATTTTACATGCCATGTTTGTTTACGTCTCAGCCTTTATGTCAAAGATTGATTGCATCACTTACACTCCATCACGTGTAAGATTAGGTGTTTCTAAGTATGTAGAAAGAGTGATTTTTGTCAGCACTGCTTATCACTGTTTTGAAGTTAATCTTTTATACGAGGTGTGTGTCACATCTAAATCTCAATTCTAGATGCTCGAAAAATCTCACGCTAGCGAATCAATCTACGAAAAAACTTTTTTCATTGCTCGTATCTACTTGCATCGTGCATCGTCTTTTTTCTATCTACTCAGTGTGCGCGCAGTTAGTCACTGCAAAACAAAATCTTCCTGCATCGTAGATAGAGTCACCCCCCTCGGTTTCATAGCTAACTGGTTTTATTGCAGCTGCTTACAAATCAACATTGGCATTGATTGTTGGGTTTAGTGAGAGCAATTAAAATTGGCTTTATGAGTCTCTATAAACCAACCATAAGACCTTTCATAAATCTAAAACAGTATTAGCATCAGTTGGTTTAATAATATGATTTATTAGGGTTTTGCAGATAGTTTAAAGTATTTTATACGATTGACGTGTTATGAAAATGTGTATGACCGTCATAAAACAATTGGAAATTGTTGTTGTTGCTGCAATAAAACTTTTATAAAATTCAAATAAAACCAAGTAGATCTAGATTTGTTACTTGAGCTGGCAACGCTGGATATGGGTTCTCGACTAATGGGAGCTTTCTATGTGTTTCCCGTTATCTAACCAATCCCCAACCGTCCCCACAAATCTACCGGGCCCTGTCTCCAAAACCCATACTTCAACGATGGTGATGCTCCTCATCGTCATCATCATCATCATCATCATCCGCGCTGTGCTCGTTCATCGTTCATCGCTGGGTCTCTGGGGCAGTCATGATGGGAGTCGCAAGTCGCAAGTTGGCCGCCGCAATGTTTTCGTCTTTGACATTTCCAAAGTTGTGTGGTGCCATTTTTCGCCACCGCCTGCCGATGTTCAATGGCGATGAATGGGACAACCGCACACACAGCCTACTACTACTGCTCGGTTGATATATGTATTATAAATAATTATTAATTGTGGGAAGCTGCTGAGAGCGCGATCTGCTTCATCCATCTCCAGCCTAGGCACAATATGATGGGCTGGGGTTGTTTCGTGCAGGGTGGCATTATAATGTAGGTATGGAGGTTCTTGCTCGATCGAGCCCTCTCCAATAAGTGTTCATGTTCATGTGGATATTTTTGCGGTTTTGCTGCTGCTGCTGCTGCTGCTGCAACCGTAAGCAAAGCACTTGCGGAGAAACAGGGATGTTATGAAATAGTGGAGTATACCCATAACTAAATAAAATAACATTCGACAGGCCGCAGCGTAGTGCTGCAAAGGTGTGCGGCGGAGAGAATTTTGGGCGCTGGTAGCAACCTGTTGTGCTGAGCTGAACGAAGGAGGGGCGGCGGGGTCGCACAACAACACTAAGCTAGTTGGCCATGTCGGATCCCATTGACTGTAATAATGGATTGCTGTGTCGTGCTTGCTTGCCATGTCTTTTTTTTTGTTATTGTTGGGGTTGCTACTTTTCCGTTTGTTTTTGTTGAGATCAGCTCACTGCGGGTAAATTAGCCCAGAGGTGGAAGCATCTTTGGTTGTCAGCAATGAGACAAATTAATTGTCCTCCGCTGATGTCAAAACTAATTTGACAGATCTGTGGTTGGTAAAAGTTCTAGCCGGAAAACGGTCGGTCTACCCTACATCGAATGGCCGGTGCCCGGCTCGCACCCGAATTAGTATGCTCTCGAAAATTGCAACATTAAAACTACTAGTGTTTTTGTTTTATTCCGAATGTTTTTCTTGTTTGCTTCGCAGCTGAATTGTTTTAATTCGTAAAATGTTTTCGGTGCTAACTACGTCCACCGGCCACGCTTGTGCAATACTAAAGACAGCAAATTAAGCCAGCCAACTTTGCCGTCCAGCATGTCGGTGAGTGGAGGTTAAGTTGGACTGCCTGCTTGGATCGGTGATGGTGTGATGGATATGGGAACTATCCAAGAACAGCAAACTGCGAACAAAGGTGAAGTGAAGTTCTAGAAGAATAACGAAGAAAAAAATAAATAGCGGACGACCAAATCCACACAGGAAGACATTCTCGAAAGAGAATAGCTCCAAATACGTGAACGGTGAACAGAGAAGAATCAAGAGTCTGGAACAAAATACACAGTTCAGCTGAAGCGCGAAAGGAAAAGGAAGCCAACAACGAAAAAGTGAACGAAGAAGAGTGGTGGGTGCGCGGGAGGACACGGTTCAAGAATCTTTAATGGATTGGAGCAGGAAGAGGCCGATTCATGCAACAAATTTCCTCTCACCAGCATCATCATCATCATCAGCAGCAGCAGCAGCAGCAGCGGTGTTCTCATCATCAAAGTAACCCGTAGCTGATTACCGGAGTTTATTCTCAAGGGAGGCAGCGGACGAGGGGAAGTATTGCAATTGCCTTATTCCCTCACGTCATCCATCACTTCTCCGGTTTGCTGGTTGAACCCCGGGCTGAAAAGTGTGCGGTAAGTTCATTTTCCTGTCTTGGTTTATTCTATATACCTATAAGTGTAAAGATGCTTTCAGCAGCAGGTTCTTGGCTCTTTCTTTGAACCCGTTCTGTCGGAATTATAATGGGACTATCCTGAGAGCGTGAGCGTATGCAATGTGTATGCCTTTTTATTATGAGCATTCTTTACCCATTTGGTCTTTTTTTTTCCTCCATGCTGGCGTTTATCCAGTTGTTGTTGTTCGGTTTTCACGCAACAGTTACAATCGTCAGATTTTATGGCGCTGCCGTCTGTTCTGCAGCTGACCCGTTGCAGGCTAGAGAGGAGACCAGACACTGTTGCTTCTTTGACCTATTTGCGGGAGAAAGAAAGGAAAGCAAAGTTCTGCATCGAGCGTAGTTATTCGCCGCAAAAGTGCACAGTTAGGTTGGAAGCAGTGTTTATGGTTTGCCATTTGCATAGAAACATGCGCGAGATGAATCGATTGTGTTGGGAATTAATCTTACGATTAACAGTTTGGCTTCAATTCATAAAACAGAACCGTCGGGTTCGTCGCTTCGAAGGGGGGAGTCTCTTTGATGTTTTTTTAAATTTTGAAGTGGTGCTTTCTAATGTGGACCCTACACCAATGTTTGTATTGACAATTATCGTACTGTCAATACATTCCATATTGACGTCAATACATCGGTATTGGCAATATTGCTGTATTCACATCATGAATATTGCTGTCAATAATTCCCCTTCGCATCAAAATATTGAAACGTGTGGAGTTCGCTTAAGTTTTCTCCTCTCAACTGAAAAGCAGCCGTCGTAAGATTGGGTCGAACTAGTTTGGACGATCCATCGATAATATTACAGACGGATGATGAGACACCATCAATTTTAGAAGGGCTTGCTAAAAATTCTTTCTAGCATTTCCAGCTCAAAACGGCAAAAAATTAAGCCACTTTTGTCCTGAACCTCAGATATGAATGAAGCTTTGCTACCCAAAATCACATTTTCCATAAAAAAAATAGTAAATTTTCCGGACTTAGGGCTTATATAAAAAATTAGTTTATTTTTTTCATTACGGCATATTTGATAAAAGTGACGTCTGAGAAGAAGTTGTAAGGGCTATTCGAAAAAAAAAATACACTGAGAGAAAAATCACTGTAAAATCATCCACGATTTTCTTTAAATTTTTTATATGAAAAATGCTGATGGAAAGTGTCAGATTGTTAAATGTTTTAAAGTATTTTTCAAATTAGCTTTTATTTTTCCAAATTCTAAAACGTATTGAAATTTCGTGTCTTAAAGTAAATTATTGCCAAACATGGTGTTTCCGCACGATTTTTAATGAAATAATCCATATCATCATTTTTTCTCAGTGCTCTCTTTGCTGTCGACACGAAAAGCTGTGTATGTGTTGTTTTTTTTCGGTCCGGGTCAAGCGATAGCCTGTTATTCGATGGCATCTATTGTTGCGGTGCTTGCTCATTGTGTGACGTTCGTTCGCTTCTGTCGTTGCTCCGTTGGAAGCAAACAGCTGGCGATGTCCGGTGGAAATAAAGCTGACTGTTAGATTCGGCTTCGGAGCTAGCTGTAAAAAACCGTCATTGGACGAAATTGCGACCTTCGTGGAAAGCGCTGGACGATTGCTACATACCGTATAGCGGAGGAAAATTCTATATTCATCAAGTTCAAACCGGTGGAATCGATGTTTCATTGCTTACTGTACAACCGTGAACAATTAATTAAATCAGTCGAGGTACGCATGTCACCAGGGACATTTTTTTTAGCTTCACTAGATAATATCGAAGACATTCAGAGTGTTTTGTAAAAATCCAGGTATTGCGAACCTTATACAAATTTGGGAAACTACGTTGAAGTTAAGAGTAACTCGATCCCTGGCTGCTTTTCTCAAATTCCTCGAGCGTCCCACACTTCCTAGATCAGCTCCCTTTGGTCCAACCACCTAGCACGCTTGCACTCCTCTTAACGACTTTTTGGATACTGGGTTCACCATAGAGTTGCGCCAGTTCGTGATTCATTCTTCTCCTTCAAACACCGTTTTCATATACCCCGCCAAAATGGTCCTAAGCACGCATCGTTCGAAAACTCCCAGTGCAGGTCCTCGAGCATCGTTCATGTCTCATGCCCGCAGTGTACCACCGGTCTTATAAGCGTCTTATACATGGCACACTTAGTGCGGAGATGAAGTTTACCCGACCTCAGGGTCTTGTGGAGTCCGTAGTAGGCCCGATTTCCGACAATAATGCGTCTCCGAATTTCTCTACTGCAGTTGTTATTTGACGTCACCAATGATCCGAGGTACACAAATTCATCCACCACCTTGAACTCATCTCCGTCTAATGTTACACTTCTGGCAATGCGAGCCCTATCGCGCTCGTTTCCTCCAGCTAACAGATACTTTGTCTTTGACGTAAAGGGTGTCACACATCAAATTGCATCACGGAAAAATCGCTGTAGAAAATTACCCATTGGGTATTTTCTCTTGAAAATTTGGGTGGAAGTAGTTTAGAGTGCATTGTTTACACTGTATTTTTAACGCTGTCAGTTTTTCGAAAGTTGGAAAAATGAAGTCACCCGAAAAGCAATGTCGCAAGCACCTGTAAAATCCTCAACTCTCTCATAGGGACATCGGAAAACAACTTGGAATCGTGCAGTCAACGGTGAGTCGTGTGAATAAACGTCACTAAGAAACTCTGAGTTCTATTAGTGATCAGGAACATAAGCGTATCGTGAAAGCGTTTAAGCGGAATCCCAATGCTTCGGTCAGGGATGTGGCCAAAAAGTTGAATTTGTCCAAGTCTTTCGTTCAGAGAGCCAAGGACCGGGAGGACCGTACAAAGTGCAGAAGGCTCCAAATCTTGATGAACGACAAAATACGGTGCGAAAGTCACGGGTCCGGAAACTGTACACCCAGATGCTGACGAAGCCTCATTGTCTCATGATGGATGATGAGACTTACGTCAAGGCGGACTTCCGGCAGCTTCCGGGGTTACTGTTCTTCACCGCCCAGCACAAGTTTGTATGTTCCGAAGGAAGTAAGCAAGCAGAAACTTTCAAAGTTTGCCAAGAAATACATGATTTGGCAAGCGATCTGCTCATGTGGCAAACGGAGTGCGCCATTCGTGACTACCGGGACTGTAAACGGGGAGATCTACCTCAAGGAGTGTCTACAGAAGCGTCTGCTGCCTCTGTTGAAGCAACACGAGGGTCCGACGATCTTCTGGCCGGATCTAGCTTCGTGCCACTATTCAAATGTTGTCAAATGGAGTGGGACGAAGCCAACGGGGTCACTTTCGTACCCAAGAACATGCCCCCCCCCCCACCCCCAGTGGGACCATGCTGAAAAAAGACGGTCAATACCTTTTTCTACCCTTTATCGTCGTTTTAAAGTTTCTCGTAATAATGGTCCGAGTCTTCTGAAATAATTACTTAAATATTTATTAAGCTGGTATTACACTTGCAAAAACTATTTTTTTACTGGTTCGAGATAATAGCTTTATGTCTTCAGCAATGTTGCAGAAAAACAAATTTTATGAAACTTTGCTCAAGACACCATTTCTTTATTACCTATATCTTTATCTTTACAAGATTTAAGTGAATTCTTGACAGGAGCACCTTAAAATCGCTTTTTTGTCATTTTTTGTATTATAATCTCAAATAAACGGGGTGATATGTTCTACAAAGTTTTCAATATTCTCAAAATACACAATTTTGCTCGAGACAACGGTAGTCTATATAGCTTTGTTTGGATTATAAACCGGTTTAAAGGCAAAAAATTACATTTTACCCTTCTTACAAAAAAGGGTATAGATATCACTTGAAAAACCGACTATCGATCCGAGGCCCGGAAAGCCGAGTTTCATATACCATTCGACTCAGCTCGACGAGATCGGAACATGCCTGTGTGTGTGTGTGTATGTGTGTATGTGTGTGTGTATGTAACGAAATGAATGCGCTCCGGAGATATGGCCGGAATAAGATCCGGTGAATATGGGCCTTCACGCTGGATTTAACGGAAAACGTATCAAAACCATCATATACCATTCGACTCAGCTCGACGAGATCGGAACATGTCTGTGTGTGTGTGTGTGTGTGTGTACGTGTGTATGTGTGTATGTGTGTGTGTATGTAACGAAATGAATGCGCTCATGTTTCTCAGCAACCGCTCAACCGATTTGGACAAACTAGGCGCCAAATGATAGGTCGCTATTGCACGGTTTTGGAATCGGTGAACCGGTTCCGGAGATGTGGCCGGAATAAGATCCGGTGAATATGGGCCTTCACGCTGGATTTAACGGAAAACGTATCAAAACCATCATGCGACACATCAAATTACTACAGAATTCAAAAATAAGATCAATGCAAGTCGTGTTAAGTGTTCCAGACCAGATTGGACACACTTGGACATGTTCCGGGTACCCCGGGGAAGTTGCTTGAATATGAATTGAATTAAAACCCATTAAATCACATTAAAATACGATGATAAGGTGATTGGTAGCCTCACCAAATAGACTACACCCGGATATATTCCGGGTACCCCCAGGCAGTGGCGTAGCGTCACTGGATGACACGGGGGTGGGGGGCTTGGTCACTGATAATGACAATAAAATAAATAAACTTGAATAAGTAAGAAGGGTCTGATCACACCATAGGTGGATAAATTCGGGTTTTTTCAATTTAAATTGCTTTTGAGTTTGCAGGTTTTAGCAGCCAAATTTAACATGGTTTGATCAGTCATAACGTGAAGTATAAACGAGCCTAAAATCTCAATCGGGTCTGGTCGGGCAATTAGGTTTTGTCAGTAATTTGTTTCTATGCTTTTGTTAGTAAATCTTGTTACTTCATACGTGAAGTTTACTTCATACGTGAAGCTTAAGATTTTCAGAGTTAGTTGGAAATGCTATACTAATATCAACGTGAAGCTTTAGTGTGATAATTTATTAACTAGAGTAAGTCTCGAAGTATCTCTTCGAATCTACAGGCCAGGAAATTCTTCGAGTCTC